AAAAAACGCTTAAACACGTATATTTTATTTTGTTTTTTTACATATTTACAAATATTACAATATTTGTTATTTAAAAAACCGTTAGTCTTTCGGGAAAACGCTTGGGGACAAGCATAATTTATTTGTTTTTTTTACATATTTTGAAATTTTTTAAAAAATCATACAGGGTGTTCCAAAAAGTTGGGTAATTTCTTAACCACGATTGCTTAAACTGCTTGACGTAAAAAGCTTATTTTTGGCAAACGGATTTTTCGAAAGTCAAATTCCAACGAGATGAAACTACCCCTCAAATATTACCAAGTTATATAATAATATCGCCATATTGTTTTTTCTCATGCTGACATAAATGTGAGAAAATTTTATTCAGTTTGTATGTTAATGGAAATTCTTGCTTTGCTTTATCATCGCCATTACAAATGATTAATTCGACGCGAACGAAGTCGCTGGTACACGCTAGTAAATAAATATATTACCTAATGTCACAAACAACATCACTAGTAATAATTACCTAGATTCATCTCTTTAATTAGAAAAATAGTTATATTTTATTTGGGTTTATTTAGAACCAGTTAAAATATACAGCGGACAAAGTGGACAACACCTGCTTTAAGACATTTTATAGCCATAAAAATATTTTTATAACATTTAGTGAAAAAACGCCATTGATAATATTTTACTTTAATATGTTTTAAACTAAATATGTTTAAAAATAATTTTATTACACCTATAAAACTATTAAATTTTAGAAATACATAGGTACCTATGTGTCTGTCTAGTTACCTATCTTCAAACAAAATTAGTAATAAAATTTCTAGGCAATCCCACCAATATTTTAGACCAGTTAAGCCGAGCATAAATCTATACATATCTAATCCAAATTATCTCGATAAATTATTAATAATGATACAGTAAATTTACGAATATATCGTACATAATAAGTTGTCCGATATATTCTACAATCTTGTAAAATAAAAGATCACGAATCAATAAAAAATATTTAAACTATATAAACCCCCCAACACAAAATTCCGCCACCCTAAAATTTTGACCAAGTTTGATGCTTCATAAGTTTTGAAAAAGGCTATGGCTAGCCTTAACGGAAATTTCTCCGTTAATTCTAGCCTTAGCTCCTGTAAAGGATTTTCTTGATCTATTGCTTGATATTTATCAAGCTATAGACTGAAAAAAGAATAACTGCCCTTATTCATTCGATACAATGAAGATCTCGAGCTGTTGTCTCTGAAATTGTCTCTGAAATCAATACTTAGCTTAAAAATGTGTAGCTCACAGAAGAATAAAGATAATGGGATAATTCAAAAAATGAAATGTTAGGAATACATCTAAGATTACAGGAAAGTGTATTTTATCCAAAATGCACGTATCATATTTTCCACAGGGTGTTTTGAATTTATGGCAAAAAACAACGTTTTGATTTACCCCGGTATAAACCCACCTAACCGAAGAATATAAGCCATTAAAATAATAAAAAATAATGCCAATAAATGTATTTACACACTGATACCATAATCGTAAAAATCAAATTACAAAATAAAAAGTTACGAAACATCAAACTTAGTCAATTTTTTAGGGTGGCGGAATTTTGTGCCGGTCGCCACAGTGGTTCCCCTTAATTAGCTGCGCGGTCATAACTGTTAGATCTAGATATAGCTCGACTGCACCTTTTTTAATAGAAATTGATAACAAATGCTAAATAAATGTATATAAAAAACTTAATGTAATATGTATTAAAAAATTGGGCCCAGTTCGTGTGATTTGCATATACAGATTATGTTTGCACATATGTACAGGGCAGTGGCGTAGCTAGCATTGAAAGGGCCCTGTATCACGAATTTCGCCGGGGGCCCCTGAGACAGAACCATGGGGGGGGGGTAAAAAAAAAATAAAAAAACTTACCGTCTGATCAGAATAGCTTATTATTTATTAATAACTTTTACCTTACAGGAATAAAATAAACAATAGTTCCAACAATAAACATAAATATCAAAACAAGGAACGTATGGTCTTTGGTAAAATTATACCTACAGAAATAAAATAAATATTCGTTCCAAAAACCAACAACAAACAAACATAAAAATAAAAACAAGAAAATATTATGAAACTAAAATCAAGAAGGGTAACAATAATTATTAGGTATATAACAATTTTATTTTTTTATTTTTGGCAACCGGTTGATGTATACGGGGACAGGCAAATACGTGATGGCCGCGTGCTCTGGCTGTAGTTGATACGGGGTTTTATTAAAGTATGACCAAAGTTTGCATAATTACGAAAAAGTTTGATGCTAACATCATATTTTGATTTTTTTTTACTGCTCGGTGGGCCCCTCAGGTTAGTGGGCCCTGTATCATTGATACAGCTGATACAGCGGTTGCTACGCCACTGGTACAGGGTGGTCGAAATTGGTCTGTTTTAACAGAGAAAACCTATTTCCTGACTAGATAGAGCAAAACCGACATATGTAGATGTCATGGGCTCGATTTCTGAGACACGTTTAATGGCGTAAACTGCCTGTCGATATTTTCACTGCCAACTGAGATACGGGGTCTTTTTGAATTTATTACCATTTGGATTATTGCCCATAACTTTTGTATTTCACGGAATAATAAAATTCTGTAAAAACGTTCTTAAGACACTTTTATAAACACGATCCAGTGGCGTAGTCAGTTTTTTTTTATACTTATTCTTTTTATCAGAAATAATAAAAAATATAATTTTTTAAATAGAAATCATAGTTGGCTATGACCTTAAAAAAATGCTGGCATTTAACCCTTTCCAACAATATAAAGTTATGTGTATTTATTTCTAAGAATGAGAGAAATATTAGGTTTTTTATCTTTGTAAGCGGGCCTTGATTTTGTGTTGACCTAGTTGCTTAATATTATTTTTTTATCAAAATTTAATATTCTATATTATTATTTATCTGCATAATTAAAAACTTTTGAAAAGGTAAATCAACATTCTATATTAGTATTACCAATTACAATTAAAACGCCAGAGTTACAACCGAACTATTAAATGGAGAATTTAGAGAGAATTGGATTGGAACAAGGGGCCCATATCTTGGCCTACTAGATTCTGTGATTTAACTCCTTTCGACTTTTTTATGGGGGAAATTAAAAGACCTTATATATAAGGAAAGAGCCATTGGGACGAGAGAAGAATTGCAGAAGGCTACTATAGGCAAGCTTTTGGACTTAATACACCAGTTTGCCTAATAAATCGTTGTAACTCTGTGCGCAAATGATGTTTATTGTGTATTCAGCAAGGAAGTGCTCAGTTTGAACATCTTTGATTTTTTTTAGAAAACCATATTCGTCACTCAAAAAATACGTTTCTCTAGTTTTGTTCTTTGTTTATTGTGTTGATTTCAGTTGTAATTACTAATACTAATAATATATAAATAGAATGTGAAAATGTACCTTTTCAAAAGTATTTAATTATGCAGATAAATAATAATATAGAATATTAAATTGTGATAAAAAATAATTAGGCAAATAGGTCAACCCGAGGGTCAACCCAAAATCAAAGCCCGCTTCGATATAAAGATAAAAAACCTAATATTTCTCTTATTCTTAGAAATAGATACCCATAACTTTATATCGTTGGAAAGGGTTAAACGTCAGCATTTTTTTAAGTTCATAGCCAACTATGATTTCCATTTAAAAAATTATATTTTTTATTATTTCTGACAAAAAGAGACAGCATAGAAAAAAACTGACTACGCCACTGGATTGTGCTTAAAAAAGTGCCTTAAAAACGTTTTTACAGAATTTGATTATTCCGCAAAATAAAAAAATTATGGGCAATTTTCAAAATGGTCAAAAAATCAAAAAGACCCGGTATCTAAGTTGGCAGTGAAAATAACAACAGGCAGTTTACGCCATTAAACGTATCTCACAAATCGAGCCCATGACATCTATGGCGGTTTTGCTCTATCTAGTCAGGAAATAGGTTTTCTCTGTTAAAACAGACCAATTTCGACCACCCTGTACATGTTTTTTCATATTGAAGAGGTCAAATATATTTTAAATGTTGAAAAAATTAAAGAGAGAGTTGTTTCATTTTATAAATACAATTTTATTGTCAATTGATATACAGCGTGTCCACGAAATAAATTGACAATAAGTTACTTTTATTTTAAGACAAAAAGCCAATCTTTAACCACCCGGTATAAGATCCGGCAGCAATTAATTTATATGCAATATACTTTAAGCAACAAGTATTATCATGCCGTTTAAGAGGATTTGAAAGGGAAAGTAGTTAAAAGTCTTAAAGACTGACAAGCAAAAATGTAAATATACAATTTTTGTTGCCTTCAAATAAATTGCCATAAACTAATATTACTTAGGTTTAATTAAATGCAAAAAAGAAAAAACAGTTCTTTTGACCTTCTTTTCGAACGTCCATTACTGAAAAGGCAACAGCTTTTATCAATTTTAATAAAATAAGTAATTAACTGGCGGTATTTGAAAACTGTTTATGTCAGCTTGATACCAGTAGCAAAAATGTGACATTTCTAATAAAAAAAAGCGCCACACTAGGCTTACTTTATTTTATTATTTATTATGTATCGTTTACAGGGGAATATAAGAAAAGTATTAGCAACAGTTTCTTTCAAACATTTTTAAATTAATATTTCTAAGTAATGACCTATCTGGGAACCACTGTGGCGGTCGGTGTGTATATTGGGTCCGGCAATAGTGCGTCGGGCACTATTGCCGAACCCTGTATATTAAATATTATAAAATAATAAAATATTTAACTATCATAATATTTAAATAAATTCAATAAAGAGAGAGGCACTTTGACATCCTTTTAGTACCACTGCTGAATGATTTCTCACCACATTCAAAGTAACAACTGGATTCATATTTCAAGCATACCAATTTCTGGTGCATCAGTTTCTGCGATATTTTACTATACGTAATTTATACAAAATTTCAAATAAAAATAGGACCAAATAAAAAAGGAATTCCTACCTTCAAATTTTTCGTACAGTTTAAAATCTAACTTTTCCGGAACAAATTTAGGCCTCTGTAGTCGAGCTTCCAACTCTGATTTGCTCAATGATTGCGTTTTCTGTAAATTTGTACTCGTATTACTATCCACCAAAATAGAGGTGTCTAATGGGACAGACATATGACGACGGTATTGTGGAATGGAATCTAAAAAATAAATAAAATACTTTACACAAAACAGTTTTTGTAATATTACACTTAATACAACACGCCTCTTTTAATGAAATATTATAACCATAGATAAAAGAAAATAATCTTCTATTAAGATAGATATGAAACTTAATAGTAAAATTTTGGGTCAAAGCGCCCCTCCGTGTTCTTAGTAGAGACTACGTTTAACCCAGCGCCTTCGCCTTTTCTGCTGTAAATATTTTTTATGTTTATATTTGATTTCAAAGGATTTAGTTTTAAAGTTACACTGATATATTAGTATATCAGAGTAACTTTAATAAAACATAAGAATATATATATATTTTACAGTTTATTAAATATAAATTTTGACTACAAGGTAGAAAGTAAATCACAATATTTGATAAAACTTATAAGTGTACCATTTTTACAGTTAATAAATAATAAAACTATTTCTGACTATGATATTTAAAATTTAGATAGATAGAATATTAAACAACGTACCGGTATTTGCAGACGCAGGCCCAAATTCAATAAAAACCAAAATTTTTCCTGCGAAAATCGGGCTTTTTTCACAGAAAAGGTATTTTTTGATTTATCAACAATCATTGTCAAGTTGACAATATACAGGGTGTTTTCTAATTAGTCTAAAAAATTGTGGTGTGATTCCTCATGTGTCTAAAGCACGTCCTTTCTGATCTACAGAGTGTTAAAAATTAAAAAAAAATCGATATTTTGCTTAACATAAATAGTACACTACTGCTTTTTTAAAGAAAATATATTTTTTTTCTTGACTGGCCATCCTTTTTCAACAAAATTGATTTTTTGAGTTTTTCTTGCTCATCAAACGGTTGCCGAGAAAAAAATAAATATACTTATTAAGCGCCCGGTTTTCTAACGATTTTTTATTTTGTAGATTAATTAGGAAACACCCTGTATATGCATATCACAGGCAACCAAATAAACTAGTAACCTCTAAAAATCATTTTTCCTACCACTAGCGACATACCGTGTTTTTAGTGAGTGCTAAATTATTTTATCAAAATTTCACCATATAAGTTTCCAGGCAATGATTATAACTTAGTTTATAGAACCAATACCTCTCAAAAACTAATCTTATTAATTTAAAAATATTCAACATCTAACATTTCTACAATTTTAACATAGCTTGTTCAGGAACAGATCTTTACCGTTTTAGTAATTTTACACCAGAATACAGACTTGATATTAAACCTAACATTTTAATACACAACAAAATAGAACAAACTAATCTAGATGAATATTGTAAAAACTACTTTGTATAATAACACTGACACACTGACAAACAACGGAAAAATTATTAATCAGGGACGGATTAAGACAGGGGGATCCACTATCTCCAATACTGTTTAGTGTAGTATTAAAAAAAATTATAAAAGATGCGGAAATTAACAGAGAGGGCTTTCTGTATACAAAAAGACACCAATGCTTAGCCTTTGCCGATGATTTAGTTATCTTAGCAAGAGATCGGAAAGAGCTGATATCGGTGACCAAAAGACTCGAAAATCAAGCTTAGTGTTTAATGAGAAGAAAACGAAATTTATGGAATGGTCAGATAGGGATAGTATACCAAACAATGATAAGACCAATAGTGCTGTATGCATGTGAAACGTGGACGTTCAATTCAACGGAAAATTTGAGGCTAGAGATTTGGGAAAGAAAAATACTGAGGAAGATTTTTGGAGGAGAGGAGATAGACAACATATGAACCAGAAGAACAAATGAAGAAGTAAAGCAACTATATCGGGCACCGAGTATAACGAAGAGAAGAAGGGGTAGACCGAGAATCAGATGGGAAAATGATGTTGAAGAGGACTTGAGAAGGATAAGAGTGGATGGTTGGAGAATAAAGGTGAAAGACAGAAACAAATGGAGAAAGATAACCAATCAAGCTATGAACCTTGCTTTTAGAGCTATTTATATATATAATAACACTGGTCTGAATAAAAATTGCCTTGACATAGTTCATGCAGATTCTTATGTAAAGGGAAATTAAAACAACTTTCTTTTTTTTAATGACATCTTGATACCAAATATGAACTCCATTTTCTTCCATCACTATCAGTTTTTGAGGGAGATCCAATATTTCCTAGGCTAAAATCAAGAATGGAGTTATTGGGGATCCCCAAACTACTTTGGATGATTACTCTCTTAGAGAGCATTTCCTTCACACACACTTGGATTTTTTCCCTAAAAATTTAGCAGCAGTCTCGGACCCAACCTAACACAAAGAACGTTTTCATCAAAATATCACTAAGCTGGAAAAGAAAAGTGGAATGCAAGTATGTTGACCTAGTACTGCTGGTTTTTGGATCGAGAGAGTTATAATCTGTACTAATATATAAAATCCTTAAGTGACTGACTCACTGATTAATCACGATCCTGCTCAAACCACTCAACGTAAGAAGCTCAATTTTGGCATACAGGTTGATTCTAGGGTGTAGAGGTTCGATAAGAAGGGATTTTTCGAAATTCCAGTTCCAAGAGGGTGAAACAACCCCTCAAATATTACAATATTTTTTATTTAAAAAACGGTCAAGTTTCCGAAAAAACGCTTAAACACGTATATTTCATTTTGTTTTTTTACATATTTGAAGATTTTTTAAAAATGTATACAGGATGTTTCGAAAAATCTGATCGTTGATTAATCACGATTCTGCTTAAACTGCTTGATGTTTAAAGCTGATTTTTGGCAAACGGATTGACTGTGGGGTGTAGAGGTTCGATAAGGAGGGGTTTCTCGAATCTCAAATTACAAGAGGGCAAAAACGCCCCTCAAATATTACAATATTTGTTATTTAAAAAACGGTTAGTCTTTCAGGAAAACGCTTGGACACGCATAATTTATTTTGTTTTGTTACATATTTTGAAATTTTTTCAAAAAATCATACAGGGTGTTCCAAAAAGTTGGGTAATTGATTAACCACGATTCTGCTTAAACTGCTTAACGTAAAAAGCTTAATTTTGGCAAATGGATTTTTCGAAAGTCTAATTCCAACGAGATGAAACTACCCCTCAAATATTACCAAGTTATATAATAATATAGCCACATTGTTTTTTCTCATGCTGATATAAATGTGAGAAAATTTTATCCAGTTTGTATGTTAATGGAAATTCTTGCTTTGCTTTTATTCATCACCATTACAAATGATTAATTCGACGTGAACGAAGTCGCAGGTACAGGCTAGTTTAGAGTATAAATGGCAAGCAAGCAAACAAAATAAAGGTAGGTACCTTTTTATTTATTATTTTGCACTAAAATAATTCTTTCCAGACTTTTAAATTAAATTCATGTCGATGTGAGAATGTAGAATGTTTAGGAAGGGAGTTAACCACTGCGACCTTACAGATCTATTGTGTGTTCCCCTTTCTTGAGTTATAACGAGTTATAACTCATCATTACAGTCACTGGACTTTGACAAAAACCAGTGATAGAAGAAAACGGGAGCTATATATGAATTCGGGATGTCAAATTACATAAAAATCAGCAGAACTATTGACAGGGCTCGAGAAAAAATTTGCTGCTTTTGTAAACCAGTGTAATTACTGTAAAATAACCAGTGATTATTATAATGCCACCTTATATCCTCAAAATCTCAATTATAACAATAGAATTTAAATTAAAATGGTAATATATCTAGGGATGCTAATGAAACATTTCTAAATTACTTACTGTAAGTGTTGGTAGTTCTACTATCATCAACTTCATCAGTAATACCAATTTTATCTTCTCCCGTAGGGCTTTCATTCTCATTTTCGGTTATTTCAACCACACCACTCGAAAAACCTGTTCCATTCTGTTCCAGACTTATCTGAGACGTTCTTGTCACTCCCAGTTTGCTTAATTTTGTAACTTTTTCCTTAAAAAAAGTATAATTATTATTGATTATAAGTGGAATAATAGAGTACCTTTTTTCAAACGTCAAAAAATTGAATGATCTGTGAAGTCACTTCAGATCAAAAAATTAAATTAATTAATATTTTTGAAGTTTAGTTTGACAGTTTAATTTGTTATACCGTATGATCAAAAAAAGGCGGCATTTACTAAGAATTTACAAAAAATTAACACTAATAATTATAGAAAGATTAAAATAGGACAGAACTTAGTACAGGCTAAGTAAATGACTCTAAGGCTTGACTTCACCAAAATTATCATTGATTGTCATTGTCAGGCATCTTTGACGCCGTTTCTTCGATCGTATGGTACTTTTACTCTAATTTAAAATGAAATATTTACCTTGTCAACCCTGGCTCTATATTCATTCAATTTAAAGTTATTCAGTGGTTGGAATACATCACTAAAGGATCCACTATCGTGATTCTCGTCCTTATTAATTAGGGTCGATGATGCTAAGGGTACTTCTTTGTCCAGAATCGGTGCTGATGTTGATACTGAATTCTTCTTATCACTGGTGAAGGTAATGTCTTGATTGAACGCAGCTGGACTGAGGGCAAGAGTAAAGTGTGAGTCAGAGCTGAAAGCAATAATCACAATTACTTTGTAGTATTTTCTTTTTGTGACTTTAATGGAGGAGATAACGATATTCTTAATTTATTTGAATTTAGACTAAAGAAATATTCTTAGAATCTATACTAATATATAAAAGCCTTAAGTGACTCCCTGATCAATCACGATCCTGCTCAAACCACTCAATTTAAGAAGTTCAGTTTTGGCATACAGGTTGATTCTGGGGTGTAGAGGTTCGATAAGCAGGAATTTTTTGAAATTTCAGTTCCAAGGGGGTGAAACCACCCCTCAAATAGTACAATATTTTTTATTTAAAAAACCGTCAAGTTTATAAAAAAACGCGTAAACATGTAGATTTTATTTTTTTTACATGTTTTAAAATTTTTTAAAAATGTATACAGGGTGTTTCGAAAAATCTGGTCATTGATTAATCACGACCCTGCTTAAAACGCTTGACGTAAAAAGCTGATTTTTGGAAAACGGATTGACTTTAGGGTGTAGAAGTTCGATAAGAAGGGATTTTTCGAATCTCGAATTCTAAGGGGGTGAAACCACCCCTCAAATATTAGAATATTTTTTATTTAAAAACCGATGAGTTTCTGGGAAAAAACTCTTAAACACGTATATTTTATTTTGTTGGTTTACATATTTTAAGATTTTTTAAAAATTTATACAGGGTGTTTTATAAAATTTGACCATTGAGTCATCACGATTCTGCTTAAACTGCTTGACGTTTAAAGCTGATTTTTGGCAAACAGATGGACTGTCGGGTGTAGAGGTTCGATAAGGAGGGGTTTTCCGAATCTCAAATTCCAAGAGGGTGAAAACGCCCTTTAAATATTTGTTATTTAAAAAATGGTTAGTCTTTCGGGGAAATTTATTTTGTTTTTTTACATATTTTAAATTTTTTTAAAAAATCATACAGGGTGTTCCAAAAAGTTGGATAATTGATTAACCACGATTCTGCTTAAACTGCTTGACGTAAAAAGCTTATTTTTGGTTAACGGATTTTTCGAAAGCCAAATTCCAACGAAATGAAACTAATCCAAATCAAATATTACCAAGTTATATAATAATATCGCCATATTGTTTTTTCTCATGCTGAAATGAATGTGAGAAAATTTTATCCAGTTTGTATGTTAATGGAAATTCTTGCTTTACTTTATCACCAATAGAAAAAATTAATTCGACGCGAACGAAGTCGCGGGTACACGCTAGTACTCTATATATTTGTAAAATAGAACTACATACAAATTCAAACAAAATCTAGTTTGTCAGTCGCTTTGTTAACATATTTACCTAATCAACAAAAAATATTTTATGTTTCAGAAGACATACTGTATAAAGAGTTATTCTACAAGAACGTTTAGTTATTCTACAGTATATTTCCATATCGCCTTTACTAGGAGAAATAATTCTTTATTAATAACATTTTAAGAAATAAGAAATATGTCATGAAAAAATCTTGCTTGTCCTAAAATGGGCTAATCCAGTTTATATATTTCTAAATTTCCATACGAATATTATGATATTACCATATAAACGCGTTTTGATTCTTAGGGATCTCATTTAAGAAAATTCAACCATATTTTCATAGTTTTTAATTTTTCTCTAAGACTGTATGGAAAGTTGAAAAGGTATAAACGGAATTAACCATGGAGCAATAGCATAGAGCAAGCATCCACATGTTTCATAAAGATTGCATTTTTTTCAAAATGTTAATACTGTAGGCACATACTGTAAAAAACATTATTATGACATTATATCTATGTAAAATCACTTTGAAGTTTTGATAAACCGGCGTCAAATTATTTTTTTTAAATAAAAAAATCTACTAAACTAAAATATCCAAGGGTTGTGTTCCTAAATTTAACGTACCTGGTAGTTCTAACAACAGGCGGTGTTGGTTCTTTTTCTGGAGTGACCCTGATACTGATTTCGTTCTCTTCTGGTACTACACTGGTCCATTCTTCGGTTTTAGCCCCCTTTTTACCCCCCAGCAGCCTCATTTTCGATTTGGTGGCTGATTTTTGACCACCTTTAGAGCCTGACTTGCCGCCTTCGTTTGTTTGAAGATTCCCCATGATTTTTTTGCGTTTTTCTTGAGCTTCTAAGGGTTAAATGTTTTTATATCTTTATTTTTTGCCATGATCTGAAACGAAAAAAAAACAATTAAAACTGATGGTAAAACTGTATTTATATAATTGTAGTTAATTTGTATATTGCTTTTTAGATATTAGGCCTTAAACATATACTTTTGTTTAAATATGTTTGATTTAATATACGAGTAGAAGAAATATACGATTAGGGACTATGTATCAAGGTAAAATCTAAACTAAATAATCCCAATAATTTTGTCATTTTGAAAATTAATAAATTTCTAAGGGAAAGAAAGTTTATTTTTTATTAATTAGTTTTAACTATAAAATTTTTTAAAATACAACTTTAGGAAGTATTCAATTTAAACCAAAAAATTGACATCATTTATTTATAGAGCTATCGTGGGCTCTACCTGCGTAAAGAATAGAGTTTCTGAAAAATGACAGTTAGGCCTTCTGTAACTCTGAGGTAACTCTGAGGACAAGGATCTAAAATAACCCGAGGTTAGCTGTCAATGTCAATGTCATGAGTAAGCTTCAGCGATATTCTGTAATACTGTCATTTTTTTCACACATCATATTAACTGGTAAGTTTTTATATAAATGTATACCAGTATACCCCATGATACAAAGAATACAAGGTATGATATTGCGCAGGTTGGTCACTACGTCACAGGTGATAAACAGCACCATTGGTCGGCAAGTTCCGCGCGCCAATTTCAAATTGTCAAACAGATGACACAATAAATGTCAAAACAATTTTTCAAATGTCAAGCACGATGATTTGACATAACTTTTAGGGTTATGTCCTAATTCTTCTCTATTTTAGGTCTTTTTTTATTAGTGGCAATTGCACAATATGGATATTTTTTTGTATGGCGTATGACGTCACAGGTGGTATGCGCAAACTTAACGAAATTGGGGCCGCTATCGATCATACCTTGTTTTCTTTGTACCATGGGTATACCCTCCAGAGTTTTTTAATAATAATTGAAATAATCTATATTAAAACATGTTACATATTCACAAGAGTTAGATTTTTCATGCGTAGTAATAGTTATTAAGAAATATTTGTCTGTAAAAGAATAAAAATTAATTTTAGATTACTAAATAAGTATGTGCGTGCATAAAACCATAACGTTAGCTTGATGTAATAATAAAAACGACTTTTTTTGCTTAGTTTAATATTTAGGATAATTTGTTGCAACAATAATATTAAATATTCTGAGATTTTTTATTATCTGAATAGAATGGCATATCATATGTCAACTTTTGAAATTTTCGCATATGGTTTATTTGAAATTGTAACATGTAGTTCATAACGACAATTTGACATCCAAAATACCAAGTGTGTGGTACCAAATTATTAGTAAAAAATGCCTTTTCCAAATATACTAATGAGCCACCCTTGTTCCATTTGAAAAAATTAAGATATGATTAAAAATACGATTGGGGCATCTTTTAACCGGCCAGGACAAGACACGAAAACATTAGACAATCAAATCTATTTTCCAATGCTCCTTGATTAAAAATTAGTATTTTTAATACAGCACTCTAGATTGAAATTTAAAATACGATTTTTTAAGCAAAAATGTCACAAGTGGACATGTGATGTATCATTCTATTCAGAGTGTCATTTTCTATCGAATAAAACAAATAATACCGAGGGTGCCATTTAAAAATCAAAAGTTGTAGTCATTCCCGGTGAAACAGGATGTGACCGAAAACAATTATACGTCAATCAACCCTAATTTATGTCATACACTAATATAGGAAATACATTTTTTAACTGAAAAAATAAAAAAGTTAATGGGGGGAGCCACTTTTGAGAAACACCCGGTATATGCAAAAAAGTTTTTTTTTATTTTTCAATGTTAAATAAAGCGGATATTTTGGACTTATTTGAAAATTGGCAAAGAAGAAATGAAGAAATATGTTTCTTTTATCAAGGTCTTACCAGCCCTGTAAATATTGGCATTAATTCAAGACATCCTCTAGAATAACTAAGAGGAATAAGAAACTAAAACGCGACGTTATTTTTAAATAACAATAGCATGATGTTAATGAATCACTGTTTACTTGCAACAATTAAAACCTATTTTAGAACAGTCATAAAACATACATAAATATAAATAAATACTGATAATAGGAATGTGTTTATTCATATAAACCTACATGCAAAGAGGAACAAGATAATCTTACCATGTTTAAAATAATTTTTGCAGATACGAAAAATATCCAACTGTTACAAATCACATTATCGCACTGTACAGATGTAAATAAATAATTTCATTCTCTTTTAATATGATTTCTTTTTTATTTATACACTCACATTTTTTTTAATTCTTATTAGGCGATTATTCGCTTGTATATTATTTATTTTGATTGATGCGTTTTGCTAACACGAATATTAACGTTTCGTTGAAACACTGCCCGAGTGTACGTGGTTATACTCCGATGTACGCAATCGAACACAGATATTTTTTAATTCCATTTTAAACGGTTTATGTGTAGGTGCACGGTTCTTACCACCGAGTGCCGTTCCGGTTCAAGACATTTCCGCCAGTTTTGGGCGATTCGAAACAAGGGAAAAGCGACAGGCAGTGTTCCGCAACGTTGCCAAACGTGTACAGCTAACTGCAGAATATAATACAGCAGGAAAATGCAGCAGTAAAGTATTTTTATGGTAGAAATTGAAACTTTAAACTTACAAACTAGCTTTATTAATTAAAAACTTTAGGAGATTTAGAGATGTAGATTATGAGGGCGACCTTATATTCTATTGTGTCTAACTCTCTCCCGTCTACGCTTGTTTTGAAGTCTTCATTATTGATAACGTCCAGATTCGTCAAGTGGGCAACTACTATCAACAACGAGGGTTTGGGCAAAGAAAAAATACAAACCCGAATTTAGAAGAGCAAACAAATGTCTTAGTAGCCTCTGGTGGGACGGAAACTTGTCTGCAACAACTAAAAAAAACTAAAAAGAGAATTCTTTGCTATGGTTCAGAGCTATGGACTCTGGGTGCAGACGCGAAGCGCGAAATCCAAGTTGTTGAAATGGACTACCTTAGAAGAAGCGCAGGTATATCTAGGATGAAAAAAAAACAAACATCGAGGTCAGGCGTATCATGAATGCATCGGAGGAAACAGTACTAGATCGAATCGAACAATCCATCTTAAAGTGGTTGGGACATGTTCTGCGTATGCCGCAGAACAGGTGGCCAAAAAAAAGATTTTCAATGGGCTCCCCAGGGCAGAAAGAAGAGAGGTAGACCTAGAAAATCCTGGAACGGAACGATTAAGGAAGCATATGGAAGCTCGTAACCTAGAAGCTGATGACGTTCTAAATCTAGATATGTGGCGTAGGGTAACGGGAACGCAGCAATAGGCTGTAGTTGGAATTGAGTATTAAATACTTAAACCAAATCCCGTTTATATACAGGGTGTTTCAAAACAAATGCGAAAAACTTCAGGGGTGATTCCTTGTTGAAAATAAAGGGTAGTTTGCTTCATAAACGTTGAGTGAAAAGTCAACCGTTAGGGAGATATCGCGGTACAAAGATGGCTGAAAAATAATGTTTTTATTTTTTATCTTGAAAACGAAAAGCGATAGACTAATGAAATTTTATGGAAGCACTACTATTATGAAAACACACTTTTTGGTAATTTTTTCACTTTTTTAAAATAAGTGGAAGGGGTTGAAATAAACTACCCCTATCATTCTTGTTAGCGAAATTTAAAGAAAAATCTTATCAAACACATGCAAAAAATTAATTTGAATAGTTTCGTTTGTTTAGAAACTTTTTTATCTCTTGTGTTTTTTTGATAAAACTTACCGATTTGAAATTAAAAAATAAAATGTAAAGCATTACATGTCAGGACAAAAAACATTTTTAGATAAAGAATCTAGTGGGCTGCTGTCAAACAGTTTTATTTCGTTTCAGTTACATTTTCTTCTGAACGATAACCTCTTCAAATTGTTTACCAAGACAATTTTTAATTCTGTATTTTAATTCATGAAAGTACAAAATAATATCGTTAAAAAAATAATGTTTAAACATTGCAACTCAAATAAAAACACAACGTCTTTTGCAGGAGCCATTAAATGTTTTTCAACAGGTGTTGAAAATGTCCACCTTGTGATGTAATACATGCATTTATCCTACGCAACATTGAGCCCCTAATACGCTGAAATATACCAGGATTATTTCTTATTATATCACATGATGCAATTATGCGATTTCGTAGGTCTTCGATATCCTGTACTGGTGTAGCATAAACTAATTCTTTTAAATATCCCCAAATACAAAAATCCAAAGGATTCAAATCTGGGGATCGAGGCGGCCAGAAATGAGGCCCACCTCTTCCTATCCAGCGGTTTTCATAATTAAGATTTAAATACCTTCGTACATCTATGCTGAAATGTCCTGGAGCACCATCATGCATGTAATACATCTCTCGTCTAATCTGCAGGGGTAAATGTTCTAGTAAAGGAGGCAATTCTTCTTGTAGGAAATAAAAATACGACTCACCAGTTAATCTTAAAGGTAGAAAATGGGGCCCAATTAAATGTTCATCGACAATTCCTATCCAAACGTTAACGGAAAACTGATATTGATGTCTAGATTCTATAACTGAATGAGGATTTTCTTCAGCCCATATATGCCTATTATGGAAGTTTTGAATTGCATCTCTTGAGAAACTAGCTTCGTCGGAAAAAAGAATTTTTGAACAAAAAAAAGGGTTTTCCATATTCATTTGATGAAACCATTGGGAAAATGTCATTCTCGGCTCGAAATCACTTGGTAAAAGAGCTTGAACTCTCTGTATATGGTAAGGATATAACTGCTGTTCTTTTAATATCCTCCATACAGTTGATGTACAAGTATTTAAGTCCGCTGCAATTTTCCTGGTACTTGTCTCAGGTTGCGCTTCAATAATATTTAAGACAGCAACTTCTAATTCGGGTGTTCGAATTTGGCGGTGTCGGCCGGTATCCAAACTTCTTTTTTCGAAAGTGCCAGATTCATGCAGCCTTTGATGAAGTCTAGTGAACGTGCTGAGGTGGGGAGGTCTACGATTCGGATACATTTCTGTATAAAGACGACAAGCTTCCAAGGCATTTCCATTTGCACGCCCATACATAAAATGCATATCTGCCATTTCAGCATTAGTGAAATTAACCATTATTGTTTTACTGATTATGTAATACGTAATTAAAACTCCTTTTTTACGCAATTAAATAGATCATAAAAAGGCTTCGGAATAATTAACTGATCGTAAGATAATAACGTATTGCTGTAGAGTAATGTCAAATAAAATAATATTAGAAACCTCCTAAAAAGTGACAGCGGCCGACTAGATTTTTTCCTAAAAAAATTGCAGCAGCCCCCTAGGTTCTTCATCTAAAAATGTAAAGCATTACATGTCAGGAAAAAAATCCTGACATGTAATGCTTTACATTTTATTTTTAATTGCAAATCGGCGAGTTTTATCAAAAAAATACAAGAGATACAAAAGTTTCTAAAAAAACTAAGCTATCCAAATTAATTTTTTTGCATGTGTTTTATGAGATTTTTCTTTAAATTTCGTTAACAAGAATGATAGGGGTAGTTTATTGCAACCCCTTCCACTCATTTTAAAAAAGTGAAAAAATTACCAAAAAGTGTGTTTTCATAATAGTAATGCTTCCATAGAATTTCATTAGTCTATCGCTTTTCGTTTTCAAGATAAAAAATAAAAACATTATGATTCCGCCATCTTGGTACCGCGATATCTCCCTAATGGTTAACCTTTGACCCAACGTTTATTAAGCAAACTACCCTTTATTTTGAATAAGGAATCACCCCCTAAAGTTTTTCGCATTTGTTTTGAAACACCCTGCATATGTGTCTTACTCTTGTGTTATAACTCATCATACAGTCCCACGGCTTTGACTAAAACCACTATCTAAAACGGATTTACAGATATTAGTTCTTCATCTCCAATATCAGTCGTACCAAAGTGTATGGTATGAATGGTTATCGTCTCAGCACACTCAGTGATGAGGTGTTTTGGTGTTTCCCCATTTTACCCACAGAATCTGCATTAGTCGTCGTTTCTTAGCTTCAATCTACTGAGACGTTCACTGAGGAGACTCACCAGAGTTCAGTGAGAGTGTCCTGTTAAAAACCCCTTGGCTATCCGAAGATTGTTCTTAGATAAATCAAGGAAAATCTTCGATTTTTCTGGGTAAATCGATTGCTTTTTCATTACATTCTATCATTGGTAGGCTGGCACCCAGAGTAGGAATTAAAACTTTAGCTTAAAAGGTAATAACTTGATGGTGAGCCCATCCAGATAACAGTCTATAGAAAGAGCCTATAGCACAGCTTAATTTTCTCTGATTCTTTGAGGGTTTGATTCTGATCTGATTGTTTGAGTGTAGGAAATCCTAAATATTATCATTACTTTGAAATCCTTATGCGAGCAAAAGCAATTTCATCGTAAAGTTATGGTACAAGTTAACCCAGACGCATAATGCCTAAAAACAGATGATAATCGGAGAACTAAAAGAAGATAAAGTATTGGGTATACCGCTAGATGAAAGGTATAGCTTTAGCAACAAATTTACTCGCGAATTTAGTATAATTATACTAGACGGAGCCTGAATTAATTATGTTCCCATTGAAGCTGAAGCAACCTGGCATATAGATGGCTCAAGAAAGTCCGAAGGCATAGGAAGGCAGTAGAACCGGAGCAAGGAATAACTTTTCCCGTGAGCCTCCTAAGCATGTCACAATTTTCCAGGCCGAAATAAGCGTCAATCCGTTATTGTTTAGATGAAATAACAAGGCAGCATCTTCACAGACAGCCAAAGAGCGCTAAAAGCACTCGGTTCCACGAGGGTAAATTCTAGACTACCGTGGTATTGTGTGCTTGCTCTAAATATAGAGGAGTGAACGTAGAAATATTATGCTGACCTGGGTACTGAAACACAAGTAGGGTAGACATAAGTAGGGTAACAAAAAGACAAACAAGATGGCAAAACAAGGCTTATCGGTGCCATTCATATGCCCAGAACACTTCTGCGGTGCTGCAAGCGCAGTCAGAAAAATTGCCATAATACAGTGGTTGCCAATAAATATCTAGAATGGTGCAAAAATTCACCTGAGCAAAAACAGACGAAATTTTTCATTGTAAAATAAATATCTACCAAAATTGCCTGAAGACTTGACTAGAAAAAAACAGAAAGACTGTCAAATATGTGCGGTTTTTTATATTAGTGTGTTGGCCGTTGTCAAAGAGCTACATTTGACGCTGAAATAGCGTATTTCGCTATATCTCTTAAAATAAATTGGTTAAGTAGACTTAAACTGGTATTAATTAGAGTAAGGATAACTCTGGTTGGAGTTTATAGAATTAGGAAGATAAATAATGGAAAATTGTATAGAAGAATTCAAAATTATCATACAGTGTTTTACACTGAAATGTCACCTTTTTTCACTTTCATACGTGTGATCTGTAGACACAAACAATTAATATTCAATATTATATTTGAGTTTGTATATTTGTCTTCTGTTAATTATGTATTTTTCATCTATTAAAAAATGCCTTAACTTCTCTACGTTTGGCAGCGCTGCATTTTGCAATCGATTGGGGTTGCTTCGGGGTGTGTGACGTATTCCGAGAATTTCCATTAAATTTCTCCATCGCATTTTCCATCTCTCCCTATTTTAATATAGCTGGAGTAGGACAACACAGAGTATTGACAGCACATATGATTTTAATGAATGAATTGCAGGGTTGGTTTTGGGAAGATATGCGAAAAAATAGTTAGATACTTCATTCATGTGAATTATGTGAAATATAAGGATAATATTGTATTAAAAATTTATTATAATTTTTATGAACTCAATAATTAATAGTTTATAATTTTGGTAACATTTGGCGTTACAACAAAATAAAGCACTAAATCACTACTTAGTGACATCATTACATCATTAACATATGAGTTAAACTATTAAGCTTTACTCAAAACGCAATTGGTAAAATAAATTAGTGGTTTCAATTAGCGTAGAATTTGTTGCAATGCAATGTAAGCATTCAGAACGTCAAAATTAGTGGTAGAAATTTTCAATTAGTAGAAAAAAGTTATCAAACTTTTAACTTTTCCACTAATTATAGTTCAAAATTTGCGAGAAATGTCATTTTAGGCCTTTGATCATCTTCCGTCATGAGAAATTGTGGTTAGAAGTCAAACGTTGATTGCTTTATAAGCTAAATATTAGGCTTTCTCCATGGATACAACTGACTAACGCAAGCTGTTGCTGGGATATTCTGTTAATTTTAATTGGGTTTTTTAAACATTGTGAATGATCGAAAACTAAAAAGTATAAAATTTAAACCACTAATAGCCACTAATAGAGAGATTCTGAATGAATATAAATATCAGTTTAAATCATCTGCTGATGATGCTAACATCAACCATATATGACACTGACAGTAGAGGAATATATTTTATTTTGTATTGTTCTTATTTCTTTTTAAGTAACTTAAGTGATTTAAGAGAATCCAGAGTTATTGAATGGTATAATTAAAAGTAATTTGTAATCAGGATTTAGGTGTGTGATCTAGACTAATAAGTGTTTATTGTACTATGCTTTTGAGTGTTTATTGTAGTATGACATCTGACAACAACTTATTACTCATGCAATTAAAACTATATTCTATTAACTGTTCTATAAGTGTTTCAATAAAATAATTAATAGTAATTTGTCATTCAAAGCTGATAGAAAAATAGCAATTAACATTGAATGTTAGACATATATATTATGACTACAATAATTAAGTTGTTTTCAATAAAATAGTATAGTTCCAATTAATCCTAAATTGCTAATCATTTCTAAAAATACTAATGAACGAACTAAAATATCACTTGCGTTATGCTACAAATTTAACATAAAATCCAAAAATTTTAATTTCACTCTGAAATATTTATATCACTCTAAAATTTTCCAGACTATGTAATAAAACTAACATAATTAAATCATAAATATGATGACAGATAAATATTATTAAGTACGCTATCGAAATACAGATCAGCTGAATTTTAACACTAGTTATTCTGTGTTATAAGGTATCTAAGAATAATTTTAGTTTAAAGCCCATTATTTGTTTTTTATTTTCTTGTTTTCAATTAAAATCTAATAATCTACACAGTGGATAATTTAATATATTTTTTATAATTTGCAAAAATTGATAGATATTGAATATGCAGATATTGAATATTATTGAATATACAATAAGGGTTTTGGAGGTTTGGAAAAAAAAGTAATACTATGGCAAGGACTGTATATATTCTAAGGATCGTTCGATCGCATCAAATGCTACGTCACGTGCTGACCAGCCCTCCACAGTGCGGCGGATGGTTATTCTAGCGGGACAAAATCTCAAGAGCAATGTTTGGGACTTAAAATCTAAGAACGTAGCAATATATATATATAGCAACTATATGGTTAAATTTATTTATTTATTAACAACTTAATTTATTAAGAAATAAATACAAGATAATAAAACTATGATATTATTCGTACATGACACACAAAAACCGTATTGTAAACTATTGCCAAATACATAAAATTATGATATCAAAAAACTCTTTAGCAGTTTTGTTTTAATTAATTTATAATCTTGTGACACCCTCTATAATTTATTTTAAAAAAATATATTTTATTTTGAAAATAATAAATAAGATAGATATTTTAATTTTAACATTCGGTAATTGTAAATTCATATATAGTAAGTATCTAAGACAATTTTTTAAACTCAGTGCCTTTTGATGGAGTTGTTTTGTTTTTATACTATCCTATAATATATTTATTTTTTCTTAATCCTTAACTATATTTATTTTTTCAAATATATCGATATTTGAAAAAAAAGTGAAAGTTTGATATCTGCAGAAGAAAGGCACAAAGGATTTTAACAAATAATATACGTACAGTAGAAAAGTACATACCTTTGGCAATCTTCAACATAATTTGGTTTTCTAATAAAATGTATAAGCACGAAATACATCGAAATACAAAGAATATTCATGCATTTTTGTATCA